TCAGCAGGCCAGCGCAGTCGGCTGCTCACTCAGGGCTTGGGGCGTCTTTCTAGCCGCCACCGGCCAAAAGGCCGGCTTCAGCGACAGCACCAAGGCCTGGTGCCTGGGAAACTGGGCGGGTGCGCACGCAGTCTAAGCAGCAGGCGGGGCCAGGAAGGAAGGGTCCGCCCCCAATGAAAGGTGGACATTTCACTGCGGGGAAGAAAGGGCAGTCTGGTCCCTAGCCTGCAGGAGGGGGAGGAATGTTGGCCCAGAGACGGCTGTGTTCTCCTCTCGTTACAAAAGAAAAAACCCTGCAAGAGAGCAGGTTTAACTTTTGAGTTCTTTTTCAATAAAAAAACTTTGTGTTCAGCATACAATGACTCATGTGTTGATTGGTCTAGAGAGGCAAAATGTTTTAGAAACCCTAACCTCGCAATCGGGCCATGTGCCGGCAGAGGGAAAAGATGCAGTGATATGTCATATCCAGCATTGTGTAGGGGTAGAGGCGGGGGTTCCCCGGGTGATGACGGGGATCCTCGCTGTCTGCCTCAAGGGTGGTGTGCATGCGCACCAACACCGTGGGTTCTTCGCTCGATTCAGTGGGGCTATCGGCTGCAGTTCCTTTCGCGCCCCCCCTGTTTCGGTGGAGTAATTACAACCTCGGTTTCGGAAAGGGATTCCCAAGTGCTGAGAGAAGAAATCTGTGTTCTCCTCGGCAAAGGGGCAATTCAAGTGGTGCCATGGGAGAGAATGGAAGATGGGTTTTACAGCCATTACTTCCTCCTCCCGAAGAAAAGCGGGGGCTTATGGCCTATCCTGGTCTGCGGCGGCTGAACAAGCACCACAGATGTTTCAAGTTCAAGATGCTCACGGTGCATCATCTTCTGTGCTCCCTGCGTCCTCGGGATTGGTTTACATCGGTGGATTTGACCGATGCATACTTCCATATCACAATCCACCCGTGGCACAGAAAGTTTCTGAGATTCTCCTTCGAGGAGACTGCATACGAGTTTCAAGTCCTGCCATTCGGGCTATCCCTAGCGGCGCGCATTTTTACGAAATTTGGTGTTGAGACTGCTGGGTCTCATGGCCTCAATGATAGCAGTCGTCCGGCTGGGTCTCCTCTTCATGCATGCATTCCAGAGATGGGTGCAGAGCACGAGGTTGAATGCCGTACGGCATTTAAACAGACAGGTGACGATTACGCCATCGTTTGTTCGGGCTCTGATTCCGTGGGGAAACCCCACTTTGTTGTCAGAGGGAATTCCCCTGGGCAGGGTTACGTCACGTATAGTGGTGTCAACGGATGCGTCTCTGCATGGATGGGGACCTCTGTGCCAGGGGAGCTCTGTAAGAGGGGAGTGGTCAGCGGCGCTAAGATGGCGTCACATAAATTTTTTGGAGTTGCAGGCTGTTTGTCTGGTGCTGGAACACTTTGCCCAGCGCTTGCGGGGCAAACATGTGTTAGTCAGAACAGACAACACGACAGTGGTGTCATATATAAACAGGCAAGGGGGTACTCGCTCTCTTCCCCTGTTGCAGCTGACACTGAAGCTCCTGATGTGGAGCAGCGAACGTTTAGCGTCACTCAGGGCAGTGCACGTCCCGGGCCATCTGAATGTTGGGGTGGACATGCTGTCCAGGGGCAGTCCGCAGGTCAGGGAGTGGCGCTTGCACCCACGAATAGTAACACAGATCTGGGATCGGTTCGGCAAGGCCGAAGTGGATCTTTTTGCGTCTGCGGAAAACACACACTGCCCGCTATTTTTCTCGATCACAGACAGGAGCACTCCCCTGGGTGTGGATGCTCTGTCGCATGTATGGCCCAGGACCCTGCCAGGACCTCCGCCCGTGGATCTGATACAGCCCACTCTAGATCGGGTGCATCAGGAGGGTCTGTCGCTGATTCTGGTGGCACCTTGCTGGCCAGCAAAGACGTGGTTCACGAGCATCATGGGGTTGCTGTCAGGGACGCCGTGGTGTCTTCCCCTGTGGAAGGACCTGCTGTCACAGGCAGGGGGGCAGAGTCTGTATCCTCGGCCGGGGCTTTGGTCTCTGTGGGCTTACCCGCTGAGAGGGAGAATCTCTCAGCACACGTTTGTTCGGTTTTACCGACTAGATGTCACTGCGGCAACGGTAGCTATGTCCGTGCTTACCTCCGGGCCCCGCGCAGTCGGAGGCACGGTGAAGAGCTGAACTGAACAAAGGGAATGACGCATGCGACTGCATTTATATGCTGTGGGCAGGTAGCCCCGCCCACGTCGTCATGCATCATCTGCCTTTCAGGTGTGAATATAGGTGTCTTCAGCAGATGGCGCAATGAACTGAACAAAGGGAATGACGCATGCGACTGCATTTATATGCTGTGGGCAGGTAGCCCCGCCCACGTCGTCATGCATCATCTGCCTTTCAGGTGTGAATATAGGTGTCTTCAGCAGATGGCGCAAGAGCGTGATATCCCATAGTCATGTGTTGTACCTCGTTTCCCTCCTTCTGGGAACAGTAGTTATATGCATAACTCAACATTCTTTGATTCCATTGACCGCACAGCAGCTGACAGTGAATGAACTGCGCATGTGCACGCTGTGTTGCCATGGACCAATCACTTACCAGCTTCTCCTTTGTATTAAATTAGAAAAATTATTTTGACCGTTTATTCTTGTCATGCGCTTATATTGATATATATACTTAAATTAAAACAGTTTGTGAGCACGGATTAGGGGAAAAAACAGCTTAACAGCTTTGAAGAATGCAAATAGACGTGATGACGTCATCAATATGTTAATGACGCATGACCTCATTTAGCGACATTTAGCTACTTTTCAAGCAGGGTTTAGCTACTTTCCATTGCAAATAGTTGGCAACACTGTTTTATGACATTGCTTCATAGCATGCTTTTGCGTTTTTATGTGGACGGAGATTTAAAAAAAAAAAAAAATTTTTTTTGCTCCACAAAGAAAACATTTCTAAACGAAACCAAATCAGGATAACCACTGAGTGTCTCATAACAACATTCAAGTACAGCTAAAATGATTAGTCGACATTATTGAGATAATGATTGTAATTGTACAAAAGTAATATAATTCTTTGAAAAAGTCTGAATAAAAAGTCGCAATTTCCTTTTTTATTTTTTTATTCAGTGGCAGAAACAGGCTTCCATAGTTTAGAGATCCATTCATATGCATTGTCTGTCACCATGTTGTTTTAATCATGATTCAAACTGCAGAAAGTTCATTGGAAAATCCCATTGGTGTTGAACTAAATATTAGCTGCATCCGCATCAAGACAGGAATCCGATGTTTCTGTAACTTTTGAGGTGCCTTCATGATTGCAGCATTGATATCCTTCACTGCCTATGATATCCCACAATCCTGTGCGTGCACAGGGCAGTTGGTTGTAAAAAAACAAAAGGTGACTGATGGAGTGATTAAAAGAATTAAATTAATTATGACTCAATTTCTCCCAATAAATAAGCATTGTAGCCATGAAATATTTGCCTGGTTAGGACTAAAGCTCACCTACATTCTGGTTAAGGTCATTTGATGTCATGAAACCAGAGTTCTTACACAAATACACATCCTGTGAAGTCATAGACTGACCGGACAGTGAGGCAGCAAAGATATAGATGGTCTTTCCCCTATTATCTGTTTTAAGGGTCTCTTAAGGATAAATTCACCCCATCGTGCTTGCGTATGACAAAGCCTTTCTAGTCTGCTGTGATTCAGATGATCATGTGTTTAAACCTAATGAAAACCAAATGAATTTGGTTTTCTTTTTTTTTCTTTTTTATGAGAAATGTGGAAACATTTGTTTTGGTGCAATTCTAACAAATAATGTTGTTATGAGATCTATAAATGTAAAAACAATTAGAAAGTGAGCAGTGAGGGCTGCATGACATCTGTGTGAGTCAGATGAGTCAGTAAAAACTCAGAAAACAACAGATTTCAGCCTTTGCTCACAATTCAAAGGAACGGGGAAACACTTGATATTTTTCCTGGATACAGTCCCAGCCTTTATACTTTTCAGAAGTTTATTTTAGGCCTTTTCTGCGAAGCAACACAACAGAGAGCAAACAAGTATTTATGCTCCAAAACAGAACAAAAACAAAAGAATAACAGGGTTTCATCCTCTGTGTGAGTGATAAGTTAAAGTTGACGCAAAATAAAACATGGAACAGAAACCGCACCAAAAATAAAAACTAGAACGTTTACGGAAAATGCACAGAGACTTTTGATAAACACAGATTTATAAAGCACACATACTCCCGCAAATAAACATATGGACATTTGTTTATAGATTTCCACAAATTAAACTGTGCAATTAAGACAAAGTAGAACTGTTGTCAATCTAAATGTCTACACAAGCATATTGAATAAGAGCATTATATTTTATTCCATAGAAGTATTCTATACATTTTTAGACCTTTGAGCATAAATTCTTCAAATGATTGAATACACAGAGAAAATCCAAAGACACATCTTAAGATGGTCTGTTTGAAGGGAATGGTGAATTCAAGAACATGATCCACGAATGAAAGATAAGCATTATAAGTGCCAAGACAAGCTTTAACAGCAGGGGAGTACAAAAAAAGCTGATACGTAAGGTGTCAAAATAGATCATATTTAAATTAATGCAATAATGTAATAGGCTATGAGTAGCAGAAGTCATTAAGCATTCATGTCTCTGTCTGTACTGCCTGAGAAATCAAGAAGGAGGAGAGAAGGGGGAACTCTAATGTAAATGAAGCTTGAAAATCATACTACCAGTTCTTCAATGATGCTTTGAGATCTGCAGATATCATTTGTAATCTGCTGTTTGCTGGTCTCAAAACTGATCAGCTTTATAAATCACATTCTAACGATCAGAGCTAAAGCTCCTTTATACCAGCTAGGATCATCAACAACTTCAAAAACATTAAAATACATCCTCAGACAAACAAAAAAAAAAGTTTAAGAATACTCAAACTGAATAGCATTTGTAGTAATATTTTGCTTTTGGCCTACAAAATACTGCATACGTCTGTTAATATTATTTTCTGTTCTTCTGAGAGTTACAAAAATATATTTTATTTCTTCAGCAGATAAATAATATATTTAGATCTAGATTGCATACACTATTTGTAACTGTGTGTGTGTGTTGTCTACATTTGCAAAAGAAATGTGCCTGTGTGTGTGTTCAATGAGTAGTCAGCGTCTGTATATCTGTGTCAGAGCCGAACAGCTCTTTGTATAGCGGAGGGAAGAGGGAATGCACCGTGAGAGGGTAAAGCTGCCGGAACCATCGCAGTTTCTCAATATGCAGTGCACACAGAGACTTCAGCACCTGGACTCTTTGATACAGCTAGGAACATACAAAACCACAACATTAAAGCCGATATATTTCTTTACTTTCTGTATTTAAATCCCTTTTCTCCATCTCTTTTACCTTATGCAGTAGACTCTCCTGATTGTCTCTGTGCAGAATGTGACTAAGGGCAAGCTCCACATCTCTCCTGGCTCTCTGCACTCGTTCTCTGTCCTCCAGACACGGTCGGTCTACTCAAAATGGAGAGAAAGTTTGAGAGATTAAGCCTATTCTACTTTAAAGTCAGAGTTTCTGCAGTAATGTGGTTTTGCTGTGCTCGCCTGCATTGAGGAGGACCAGTGCAGTGAACACTGCCATCTGCTGTTCAGTCAGTCTCAGCGCACACAGATTGTGAGCAAAGTCAAATACAGCAGCTATCAGATCACCACATGCTGGAGAACAAACACAGACATTCAAAAACAGTTCGAATTACATCGCCATTAACTTTTGGAAGGTAAAATGTTAAAAGTGAATAAGTCACAATGTCAGTGAGTAATTATTCATTGTGAAAAGGGAGTGTAATTGTATAGAATGTGTACTTGCATATAATATTAATGGAATAAAAGGCAACTTAAGTGCACTTTCATGACTGTTTCTTAACACACTTAACTACACTTTTAAAAAGTGTAAGTGCACTTTGTAATAATGTCAAATTAAAAGTTTTACTTAAATAATTGTTTTATTATTTTCTGTTGTGCTTTAAAAAAGTACACTTATTCTGACGGGTGACTAATATACTAAAGCATTTTATAGCTAAAGTTAATACTTTTTAAATATTCTAAATTGCGACTTTTTCATTATACAAAAGCATTCCAAATTATTTAAATATATGACTTACAAGTTTCAATAGAAATGACATTAAAGTATATTTTAGTTTACCATAAATCTTTGTCAGTAGATTCAGCAGTACACTTTAACCACATTTCAAAGGCGATATAATTATGTAATTACATATGAAGAAGTATTTAAGTACTACTTAAGTTGGTCAAAAATTAGCACTCTAAAGTTACGCTACTTGCATTTGATATAAACTTAGGTAAAACTTTAAGGTGTCCTTGTTACACATATTACATGTACTTACTATTAGAATAACAATAAATTATGCATAATTACATGCAAGTAACCCTAAGACAAACCCTTATCCTAACTATAACCACATATGACCCTGGACCACAAAACAAATAGTTGTATCTCGGCCAAATATTGTCCTATCCTAACAAACCATACATCAATGGAAAGCCTATTTATTCAGCTTTCAGATGATGTATAATCTCTCAAATCTCTCCTTAAAATAAAGTGTAGCCTAAATTTAAACTACATGTATGTAACTACAACTTAATTTAATTGAAATTAACATGCATTTAAGTTCCCAAAAACATTTTATCCAGTTTGCAACAGGTATATTCTTTTAAAATATATAATTTGTTATTAGTACGTATTAGTATTATTCACAAGGAATTAGACAAATATGATTAAATTCAGGTTTTTAAAAATAAGTTGACAAAAATGCTCTTACACTGGAAGTCTATGGGGCGATCGCTGTAAATCAAAATATTCTTTTAACTCACCAAGGGATTTGAAAAGTTCTGTTCCTGCAAATTTGCCGTCAAAGAATACTGTGTTGTTTTCTGTGTTAAACATCCGACTCATCCGGACCAGAACCACTTCCATGGACCCTAATAAGAAAGAGAGAAAGGCACGCACAGAAGGCGGCAGAGAGGAGAGAGCAACATACACAGAATTATAGAAAGAGGAGAAGACAAAGCCAGAAAAGTGACAGGTTTTTGAGAGATAGAAACCGGACAGAGAGATGAGAATGGAGCTATAAACCTTGTAAACCTTACCAGCCGTAACTGATTAACTAGTATGTTGTACGGAAAGCTATATCTCACCACTCTTGAGGAGAGCAATTTGATCATTCTGACCAAGCTGGCGGAATCCAGGGATACGTTTAGCAAACTCCACCACGTACTGAACAGCATCGGTCAACCGCACCGCACAGTGCTGCCACATCTCATCCACCGACTGCAGAGAGAGGAAGAAGAGACAGAGAAAGTGAGAAGGGTGAGAGTGAGTGGAGACTATTTAGATATCCACACTACAAGTCAAAATTTGGACTGAAATGTTTTTGAATGAAGCCTAAAGTCCCCAATATACTTTCTTCACTCATGTTTGCCATTTGCAAACATTCTGACATGCTGGTATTAATATTTAAATATGTGTGCACACTGTCCTCCTAATTATACAACAAAATTGCAGACATTTCCAGGAATTCCAGGTCATCTTTAAAGGCTGTATATGAGTGATCATAGAGACGTGGATATGTTTGCACCAGCTCTGCAATTCAGCCCTCCATGATTTTACTCGTGTCTGATGGCAGTTCAAAGTTGATTAACATTCAACTTGTCAACAGTCAACTCACAACACTTCGTTTAACGAGATTGAAAAAATATCATGAATCAGACCAATGAAATCAATGAATGGTCAATGGTCAATGAAACAGACCAATGGCAGTTCAAATGTGTTTAACAGTCAGCTTGAAGGTTTCCACAAATTTTGCATTGGCGAGTTGTTTCGATAAACCAACAAGAACTTTGAACACTTTGTTTGACCAGCTTTTGTTAGAAATTACATCACATTTGAAAAAATAAATAAAAATAAAAGCTAACTGCTATGGACCAATGGGTGTTCAAAGGTGTTTAACAGTCAGCTTTAAGTTTTCCAGAAAGTTTGCACTGGTGAGCTGTTTCGAAACATCAAAACACTTTGTTTGATTTAGGTTGAAATGACATGACACTTATTCATTCTTTAATTTAGCTTGAAGTATCAGAACCTTTACAATAAAAAAAACGCAAAACTTTTTCTCAATTGTGAAAATACTTATCTTAATTACGACTTTATTTCTCACAACTGAGAAATATATTTCTCATAATCGCAATTATTTCTACAACTTCACATCTCACGGTGGACCTTTTTCACATTTTCGGGTTTCTCAGCAGCGAAAGTCATCATAGTTGGGTTAACTTGAAGAGCAGTGAATGGGATTCCCATTTGTTCAAATAGCAAAAGAAAAACTCCACGCTAGTGTTTTCACGACTTTCAATAAAAGGAAAAAAACTGAGAGATTGACAACGGCAGTGAGAACGATGTCAAACTTACCGTCCCTCCCATAGGCGCTGCATTACAAACACCCTCGCATTAGCGTAAGCTAGTTTTTTTGTAATTTGATGCAAAGATAATATAATACAAAGAATAGTGTTATAAAGTACATACATTTAAAAAAAAAATACAAATATGAAAAACTTTTGAGGATTTACGATGCTTGTGAAAAGGGTCCATTGAGATTTGTAATTAATTAAATCACAAAGAGGAATGTTTGACTAATGACACACTGTTTCACATTGTCATCAGTTACAGCTGTGCTAGTTACATAAGAGTAGAGAACATGTACTTTGCTCTGGTAAGCGTGGATCTCCTCCCTGCTAAAAACCTTCCATCTGAGAGCCTGCAGCTCCTCCGGTCGATACTGAGTCGTCTCTCTGTGGGAACGTACGATACTCGCAGAGAGCTCCTCTGTCAACAAACACAAAGAGAGATGTTAATCCAAAAGCTAAACAGTACAACACCACTTAGTATAACTCCTAAAGGTGTGATCACATTATCGAAATGTGAGAACACTTTAACTCTGTTAAAGGGATAGTTCACCCAAAAATTTAAAATTATGTCATTAATTACTCACCCTCATATCGTTCCAAAACTGTAAGACCTTCGTTCACCTTCGGAACACAAATTAATGACTTTATTTATTTACCCTCATGCTATTCAAATCTTTTTTTTTTCCTTTATAAGAAACACATTTTCGAGGAATATGCTGGTTATTCTTTTCCATATAAACAAAGTTAATAAAGACTGGGACTGTCTCTTTTGGATCTCCAAAAATAACAAAAAATGATCATAAAAAGTGGTCTAAATGATTCATGAACTATATTTCAAAACTTCTGAAGCCATATGATTTGGTTTATGTGAGCAACGCAGACAAAAATCTAAAAATGTTGGCAAGTTAAAGAGAAAAGTATAGTAGCGATGTTTAATGAAATTTTATTTTAATGAAAATTCTGTCATTAATTACTCACCCTCATGTCGTCCCAAACCCGTAAGACCTTTGTTCATCTTTTAAACACAAATGAAGATGTTTTTGATGAAATCTGAGAGCTTTCTGACCCTGCATAGACAGCAACGCAACTGACAAGTTCAAGGCCCAGTAAGGTAGTAAGGACATTGTTAAAATAGTCCATGAGACATCAGTGGTTCAACTGTAATGTTATTAAGCTATGAGAATACGTTTGTGCGCAAAGAAAACAAAAATAACGACTTTAATCAACAATTCGTCTCCTCCGCGTCACCCTGACGCCATTTTGGAGAGTATCACATACATAAACAACGTATGCAACATATGTACGCGGATACATTGTTTTCGTTCAGATCAAAGCGTAAACAACGTAAACAGCATATCCGCGTATGGTGCTGCTGACACAGAACAGCATACGTTGTTTACTTATGTGATACTCTCCAAAATGGCGCCAGGGTGACGTGGAGAAGACGAGTTGTTTAATAAAGTCATTATTTTTGTTTTCTTTGCGCACAAAAAGTATTCTCGCAGCTTCGCAAAATTACGGTTGAACCACTGATGTCACATGGATTATTTTACCGATCTCCTTGCTACGTTTCTGAGCCTTGATCGTGTAAGGATCTGTCTATGGGAGGGTCAGAGAGCTTTCAGATTCCATCAAAAATATATTAATTTGTGTTCCGAAGATGAACGAAGGTCTTACAGTTTTGGAACGACATGAGGGTGAGTAATTAATGACAGAATTTAAATTTTTGGGTGAACTATCCCTCTAAACCACTTTATAACACCATGTAGCTCTCATGAATCTTGTGGTTCTCACCTATGTGCAGAGATGTCGGGTAAGAAAAGAACGAACTCTCAGGGTCAAAAGGACGAATGCCCACTGCACTGCCACTCATGTTCAGAATAGCCTCTGGTGTAGACGTTGTGGAGTCAAATCCTGAAAGAGAGAAAGAGAAAACTATACACCACAATATCATTTGAGATGAAAAGTACTTCCTACAGTGGAGAATTTCTCACATCTCCCAGCTGACAAGCTGTTGCACTCACCTCTCCTGTGGGAGCCCCTGTAGGCCAGACTCTGAGCCTGGGCCTCGCCTATGCGACAATCCAGGTATGGATGCACCTCTGGAGGGCAGCCTTGCAGTTCAGGCTCTACAGAGTAAGGGTAAGCTGGAGGTAGAGCTGGGATGAGATGTGATGACTGTTCTCTGGGCTCTTTGCTGGATCGGTAGGCTGGAAGAGGCTGGGGCTCTTGGACTGAGTTGGCCTGAAGTCGCTGCTGCTGCCGGTGTCTCTCAACTTCTGCAAACAGAGAGTCTCTCTGGCGCTTAGACATCCGGCCAAACTTCACCGCTGAGGGAGACGAGAAAACATCACAAAAAAGATGGAATTAATCATTCTATATAATCCATTCAAGCATTCTTCTATCCGTCCTTTCTTACCATCGCGGCTCATTCCCTGAGCGACACATTTTTTGAGACGGCAGCTCTGGCAGCGGTTACGGCTGGCACGGTCAATAGGGCAGTTGCTCTGTCTGGAGCAGGAGTACTGCACGCTGGAGGACTGACTTCTGCGGAAGAAGCCCTGTAGAGGCAGAAAGCGGTGGGTCGGTGGGGTGTAGAACAATTAGGGGGAGTGTACTAAAGAAGCAAAATTATGAATATTTGACATTAGTGAAGTCATTTTTTTTCTTACCTTGCAGCCCTCACAAGTGATAACTCCATAATGAACCCCTGATGACTTATCTCCACAGATCTTACATGGGATCACCTCAATCTGAGCTATAGACACAAACAGAACAATAACAACACAAACATTAAAGCCTTGATCATGTGTTTTAACATAAATGTGTTGAGCGGTCACAGTTGAATTAAATAATTCCCAACGCTATTAATCAGATTATAATTCTAGCCAGCAGAGGGCAGCGCAGTCCAGATAAAATAATTGTTAGTTTTGTTTTTTTTTTACTGAAAATGTAATTTTATATTTATTTTTTTAAATTATTTTTATTGATGAATACTTTCATGTACTTTCAGGATGCATTTAATTGATCTAAAGTGACAGTTTAAAGATATTTATAATGTTGCAAAATATTTCCATTTCAAATAAATGCTGTTATGTTGAACTTTCTATTTATCTATTCAAGAATACTGAAAAAATACATTGATAATAACAAGAAATGTTTCTTGAGCACCAGATCAGCATATTAGATGATTTCTGAAGGATCACGTGACACTGAAGACTGGAGTAATAGCTGCTTTGAAAATATATTAAAACGAAACAGTTGAAACTATAATCATATCTCACAATACAAGCTGTTTTCATTGTATTTTAGATCAAATAAATGTAGCCTTGGTGAACATAGGTGACTTGCAAAATATTAAAAATTGTATCAAACTCTAATGTTTGAATGATAGTACATATATAAACATATTTTAAAAAGTATAATGATTATATAATTTTTACTTAACCCAAAATTAACTGAACCATTTATCAATAATGACATTCAAACAAAGCACAGACATACCAAACTTTTAAGTGGTTTAAGATGTGTGTTAATGCTTTAAGATGTTAAAATAGGTACAGTATCTTGTGATGGATGAGTAGACTAATTAATATGAAGAAATTAAACACTGGATGGCTGGTTCTTTTTGTAGTATGTCCTTAATTGTATTTGCTGTTAAATACACACTCACAGTAAACAAGTGTACAAGTGCAAATACACAGAAGTATAAATACACAAAGCTGCTGAAACACAAACACACACTGGTTTTGTAACAGACTAAAGATAATCCCTGAAAGCCACATTAAGAAATCCTAATCTAATGAACAGAAGGAGAGAAGGAAAGAGAGAGGTATGAATGAAGTGTAGCTCTACTGTTGTGCTGTGCACACAGACACATATGAACGTGAATATATTTAAAATACATTTATTTCATACTAAGTATAGTTTAAATCTAGTAACATATATACTGCTTGAGAATTACTGACATTAAAATTATAATTAAACTTTATTTGGAGTACTACTTGTGCACAATGCACATTTCTTAATATTAAGCCTAAAATGTGTTTCAATGTCACTATTGATGAGGATTGTATGATCTTTGAATAATATCCATCTTTAAATGCAAGATATTTAAAGTATGTCTGAAGTATACTTGCAATAGTTCCACTTTGGCACAATATATAAATATACAGTTCATCTTTAGTTGGACTTCAGCACAATTAAAGTGCATTAAGCACAAAATTAGTTATTCCAATTAGCAATTTAGCAGACTTTAAGTATACCAGTTTAGCATACTAAAAGTACAACTGCAGGGTATTTTTATTACGTACATAATATGTAAATGTATTTGTAGTATAGTTAGCATGAAATAAATGTATTTTCAAATATATTTTAGTATTTTATTTATTTTATTTTTATAGGATATATGCATATTTTTGTCATGTTAGGAACTTGGTGTCTATTTGTATACTAGGTTAATGATATTTTCTTTTCCCCAAAACATCTAGTAAGTTTATTATGTTTTTTTCTTCGCAACGACTGTTGGGTTTTGTCAGGTCCCTGAAATGTAGCTGATTTCAGGTTTTATACTGGGGACATTTAGTCTGAAAATGTAGCTAACACACGCATGCACAGCATTAAAAGTGAGATTACAGTGTATTTAACAATAATATCACAAACCATATGCAAAGGGACAGGTCTTAAAATACATTAGTGTTTAAAACTGCAATGTAACAGAAACAGTGGCAGATTTTTTCTTCTGTATTATGGTGTACATTCGAGTGAAAAAGATTATCAAAAGAAAACACTGTAGAACAGGGCCTTCCATCTACATTGTTGAGTGGATGGAGGCGGATCTGAATGCAAGCTTCTGATTATTTGTAAGAAAGGGACGGTGTTTAAAAAATGTGAATGAAAAGAATATTGGAGAACTCCAGCGTATGTCACTAGACAGAATTCTGTTGTTTCACTGGACGATCCAGTTAATATATTCTGATTAAACATTGTGCATTGATGAATTGTTCATATAATAAGATCAATAATATGCATTTTGAAAAAAGATAGGGTGAGGGATAGGATTTTTGTTTCATGTTCACTTGTATGTTCTGGTCCAGAGTCTTGTGGCTTAAGATAGTGAGAGGTTTTGTTGCATTTCTGGCATGTTTGCAGGTTCCTAAGCTGAAACTCAAAATGTATGTGTTCTGTACATTAGTGTGTGTGTTTTCAGTGAAAATGACAGTAAGTCTAACCTACTAATTTCTTGGAATCCGGCAATGTGTGTGTGGCTAAGTGATGTGGTCACATCGTCCAGTACCAAGGAACATGAGTCTCCTCCCTCAAGTATGCACACACGCACACACACACACACATACTTGCATTTGTGGTTTACAGGGACTCGTCATAGGTGTAATGGTTTTTATACTGTACGAACTGTATTTTCTATCACCCTAAACCTAAACCTACCCCTTACAGAAAACTACTGGCAATTTTTGAATTTCATAAAACACCGTTTTGTATGTTTTTTAAGCCTTTTGTTTTACGGGGATACTGGAAGTGTCCTCATAAACCATGTTTACGTTGTAGTACCCATGTCATTATACACATTTGTGTCCTCATAAACCATATATACCAGCACACACACACACACACTATGCACACACACATACACACTAGGCGCACACACACACACTATGCACACATACAGGTGGGAGGAAACGTAGAGAAGGAAGCGAATGAGAGAATGATACAAGGTTAAAGTTCATAAGTTTAAAGATACATTCCACTGAGGCTTATTACAAAATAATAAATGCAATCATAAAATGATGTAAAAAGGTTTTAATTGAGAGCTGAACTAATGGGATTACACTTGAAATTGTTAACCAAGGGTCATATTTAATCCTAGCTTAATGTAATGCTGTGAGTGGGTTTTGTGCAATAGTGAGAGCTTTTGCACAACATCTCAACTTACATTTGTAGAAAAGATATTTAATTGTCTAGAAGCATCAAAACGTTATTTCATTAATATATTGAATATATGAAAGGATCATAACAATTCAGGTCAGATTTGCTGTTTGTGTGGCTGTTCAGTGGTGCTCTGCTGTTCACATGCACAATCTTTGTGTCAGCAGTTTCTTAAAACAGCAACAATTGTATCTTATGTGAATTCAATGTGTTTTGAGCATTGTGTGGTTTGCTTATATACTGCATCGTTCCAATGCAGCACAACAACATCAGGGTTATGCTGCTTCTGCAAAATATTTGTCTATAAGTCCATTTTTGGACTAGAAGAGCCATGTTATGAACCACTTTTTCTTAGTGTGAAGAACATTTCAATAATCTGAAGAACCTTTTTTTTACTATAACAAACCTTTTGTGGAATGGAAAGGTTCCATGGATGTTAAAGGTTTTTCATGGAACCATAAATGCCAAAAAAGAACCTTTATTTTTATTAGAGTGTGAACTCCTCCAATAAATCTGACCTGAGGGGCAACCTAAAGTCAAGTCCAAAAACAACAGTGTGAATGGATAGTTTACTGAAACCACAATTGAAGTTGACCAAAATGAGACCCAAGGCCAGGAATAGTGTATAAATACCAAACTAAGGAACTTCCAAGGGGGTCTCGAGATGACTTAAAATAAGACAAAACAAGCTTTAAAATCAGCTAAAACAACTCAATTTAAATATTTCTTATTTTCATTATTAAATTAAATTGTGTTTAATTATAAAATTGTCTAATTATTTAGGTACATATTTTAGTCTGTAAAGTACAAAAACACAGTAAATATATATATATATATATATATATATACACACACACACTTAAAGTGGTTTTTGTGTGAATTAATAAATGAATGATCAAGCAAACTAACAGATAAATTAAATAATTCATTTATTAATAATTAAATAATTGATTAGTATTAACTTTAATAACAACTTTATTTTGTTTCATATATTTGAAAGTATCTTGCGAATTCACAACTATACCACAGCTGATGCCCTTCAAAATCCCCCATGTGAAATGCTGCTTAACTCAGGGTTAAAGGTGGCCTTATCTTGATGTTAAAGAAGATGTTTACTGGTTAGGTATGTGTAAACAGCCTATAACAATATTGGGTTCTCATCTGGGCCATGTCATTATGCTGAAATTATCATCTAAAAAATCAGAAAAAAGGTGATCTGAGGTAAAGTGGAGTCTGTATGTGTCATGTCAGCCTGACCTTTTCATGTCAGAAATTAAAACTTCTTTTGACAAGTTTTCCCACCTGGTCTATCAAAGCCCTTACAGTGGGTGAATCAAAGAAGAGCATTTTTTCTCACAAAAACAACAAAATCTAATAACACGTCACAAGAAAACAGGGAGATTCACTGTGACTGACTGAGACAGGGGGAATATTGAGTGTGAGGAGGTGGACGTGAAGGTGTCAACCTCAGTCTTTTTAAGTGGTTTACTGGCTTCTCTTTCACTCTGACTTTCCCTCTTTCATGCATTATCTTGCTCTTTCTTTCCCTCTCTCTGTCTCGCTCACAAAGGAAGCGACTGCCAGTAATACACT